CGGCAACCAGCACACGAGCCATGATGTGCCCGATGTACCTACCTTGACTTAAAAAACACCTAGACCGCGTGAACTTCAACGTTGCCCGTGATGTGCACTTGTCAACATCCTGCCTTTTTTCTTGCCAGAAAACTGTAGCGGCTCCAGGCCACATATCGACCTACAGATTGGGTGTGCAAAGGCTACTTTAGCAGCCGCAGAAAATGTTGCAACTGGCTGCCCTGCTTCTGCAGGGCCTGCCGATTTTCTGTGTCAACTTTGCGTCAAATTTAGGCCTTGCAGGTCTAAGCTGTCTCGGGTGACCGTGCCGCTGCCCGTCTGTGGAGCAGCTCAGAAGGCCATCGCACCTCACACGTGAACATTCCACACCAACATCTACATTCTCTGCATCTCGTTCTGCAAAGAAGCTGTAGTCACGCGTTGGCTCGGCAGCCTGCACAGGTTAGGAGCCCGAGGCAACTTAGATAGAGTGGCGCAGCTGCTTTATTCGACAAAGCTTTGGCATGACCAATCTAAAGATACATCAAGAAACCAGCTGAGCTTCAACACGTGGCATGGATGTCTTCTCCAGGCCTCCCCCTTGGGCTTGGCGATCTTGCGTGCCCCCTGAGGCTTTGATGTCCTGCCACTGTACAACTTTCCCAAACTCCAATAAACTGTTGTTAGAAGGGCGCGCGGAAAAGTGCTGCCATCGATTTTAGGCAAAAAGTCTGTCAACACTCTTCGCTGCATTCGCATCATACCGCCCCCTGGGGCATGGTGCCGCTTTGTCTGCCAATGGTCTGGAATACTTGACTTGCCCTCGCTTTAAACAATCAAGCTGCTAACCCACACTGTTTTCTTGCTTGGCACATAGAAATAAAACTAACCATAGCAATAAGGGTAATAACAAAGCTGGGAATGATGGCATGAAAAATCTTGATCATGAGAAAACTACCAATGGTAGGAAAGTAACTGTAATAGTAGTAGCAGCAGCAGCAGCAGTAGCAGTAGCAGTGGCAATAGCATAGTAAAGTTAAAGTAGGAGCAGTAGTCGTAGCCGCAGAAATAGGCGTAGTAGTAGCAGTAGTAGCAGTAGTAGCAGTAGTAGCAGTAGTAGCAGTAGTAGCAGTAGTAGCAGTAGTAGCAGTTGCAGCAGTAGTAGTAGTAGTAGTCGCGCCCCCCCAAGGCACTATGTTTTCCAAAAAATTCAGTGTAAGGACGATAGGTTGGGAATGGGGGAGGAGTGGGGTGGGGGGGTAGTTCCGTGCAAGCAAACCTCAATCGGTAGGTAATTCTAAGGTGTCGCCGCTGGCGGAGCTTCGACGACCGCATGGGAGCGGCAGCCTGCACCCATCAACAATGTCAAAACATTCAAAGATATAACCACGTAGAGCCCATAAAAATGGCCCATTTAACCCGCTGTTGCTCGGTTCGGGCAGCAACCACTAGCCCACGCGAGTGGTAAACACTATGTAAGGGTGATACTAAGATGGCGCCGCTGGTGGACTTCTGACGACCACAATGAGCGCTTGTGCTGGGAATGGCAGCCGTACACTGGCGTCATGATGATTTGCCGCGGCAAATCCGCGAACAAGTTCAGTCGCACAAGCAGCGCGTAGATGTTGCGTTCAGACGCGCATCTACGAGAGTGTGCATGTGAAAGCCCGGGCGTCCGAAATACCAATTTCGGGCTCGTGCATCGCTCCTGCCCGCGCTTAGCAACTTTCAGAATATTCAAGAGATTACCACGTAGAACCCTTACGAGATGGCCCCTTTAACCCACTTTTGCTAAGTCCGGGCAGCAGCCACTACATGAACAATACTACTGCTACTAGCCGCCTCCTTGGGGAATTTATGACCGTCTACACTGCGTGCTTTGGGCTGAAGGTAACAAACACCTCTGCTGACCCTACACCATCCCAAACCCGATGTGTTACGCGGCTTACGGTGTATGGTTTACGGGTCTAGGGTTTAGGGAAAGAGGGGTCTAGGGTTTAAGTTGTAAAACTCACCCTAAACCCTACACCGCCTACATGAAACTAATTTCGTGGGTGGGGCTCACCAAGCTCCTAAAACCCCACATGAGTTGTAGTTTGAATTCTTGAAAGGGGGTTATATCAGGGATTATATTAGGGTTTAGGGTTAAAGGGGGGGAATACTATACGGATTACTAAGGGGGATACTCAGAGTTTACAAGACGATGGCACACATGAAAGGGAAATTGAACTTGTCAAGTTGGTGGCTTCCTGGTTCACCAAAGGAACCTCAAAAATATGTAGCGTCATGGCTGTTTTAAGTCTCTTCGGCTACTATTTTGCCTAGGGTCCAGGTAAGGTTTGCAGAAACCCTGACATTGGGCGTCTCCGTAGATGGAGGACATCCTGCACCACGTTATATAGCCCTCAGAACAGCCGACCCTAAAAGGCAATCTCTGAACCCTGAGCCCAGGCACATCGGCTTCAAGCCTGCAAAACAGCATTGCAAGTTTCTTGAATAGTTTTCTGGCTCAAGGATTTTCTTGACCACAACTCCATCCTCAAGCAAAAGAGTAGCCATGGCACCGAAACCGGATCAGGTCGCGCAATCCTCCGATGCCAATACGCAGCTCGACAAGTCACGGCAGGTTCACGGGGGGAACAGTACGCTGCGGTACAGGAGTTGCACTGGTGGAAAGCCCACTACAAGCGTTGTGCTCCGACCCCGGCGGCAAGCAGCTTGGCCACACCGGCCGAACCGCAAGATGAGGCAGCGATGGAAGTTGAGGCCGAGATCACAACGCCAACACTGCTACAGCCGTTTTCACTGGAAAGGGATGCAGCGCTGGAAGTGACAGTTGCGGCTTTGGGAATCAAACCCCAAGACCACAACGCAGTTCGCCAGTGGCTTGAGCAGCCCGTACAGAACAATCCAGAGCTATTTGCCACTATGCGTGCCTACCATGAACAAGTCATTAGGCCGGAATGCTACGCTTTGATCGTGCAGTTGGAGACTGGTTTGAAGACCCTCAACAACAACATCTTCCACGCAGGTCAGGAAGGAGCTCAGCTGAACGTCGGCAGATAACCGCTTAGCCCAGAAGTATGCTTGCGGAACACAACTCCTGACGATAGGCTGGCCACAGGGACTGAGCCCTTCTCAGCGTGAATACCAGTAGGGGCGGACGCTGATGAACACCCCCAAGATCCACACCTTCGCGCAAGAGAGAGGCTACGCTACGGACTTCCGCACCCACGAGGTGTAGCGGTACATGGGTGCTTTCAGCACCGACCCAGTCACAGTCCCAGCTGGAGGGGACTTCTTCTCGACCATGACTCTTTTAACATTTCATGTGAAGTACGGCGGGACAACTGGCACACCAGTTTTCACCCATGAGCGCACGCAAGTGAAAGGGCATCATGTAAAGGTAGCTCCCTGCTCGTCACAATGGCAAAGGAAGCTAGAGTCTCCGCTCCGAGTTCTTTTGGGATGTGTGAACTCGCACCCAGATCACAACTCAATCTCAAACATTATTGTTCTTTGGAAGACTTTAACCCTGATGGCTCCCACTCCAGGCGACGACTTCAAAAAGGACATCACAGCCTGGGCACGTCTTTTTTACTTTGAAGAAAACGGTGAGTTCAAAGGGAGACTTGAGGTTTGCAAGGAGCTTGAAGCAATTTTAGCCCCATCTTTGGTCCCAAATGTGGAACAAAGTCATGTGGGGCAATCAGTGGGAGATTGATCAGGCAAAAGCTGCTGCAACTTCAAATGTCAGAGCAGAGACGATTCCTGGGGGCAAAGGAAAGCACCTAGGAAAAGGAAAACGACACTGGTCGGCAGCAGCAGTCCACACAAGCTACTATGAGCCTTATCCGTTCAATTTGGACTTTGTTGTTGTGGATAGCATTTACTTCAGCTGGGACAAACTCTGCGATAAATGCAGAGTCCCAGAGAAAAAAGTTGGAGATTGCTCCATCTCAGGGCAGACTCCAGGAGGTAAAACCTCAGGAGGACGTGGCAAAAAGGGCAGGTCCTCATGGCCTATTCCCAGAACTTTCATTTCTGCACTTCCCTCAGCAGCGCCAGCCATTTCTATTTGCCCCATTCAAGGATCACAACTACCCCCAAGCAGACCCTTGACTTTTCTGGGTCCACAAGGACATCCTGCATCAGTGCTTGGAGGGCCATTTGAATTTTCTAGACCTTAGAGCACCTTTGATGGATCAATCCCCCTAACATTTTCCATCAATGATGCGACGCAGGCTCTGTTCTCTTTTGATCAGGTAGCTGATACATTTGAAACTTCTAAAGTCAATCACTACCTCACCAGCTCATGCACAAGTTCATCAGGCTTGGGTAGGATCTGGATACAGCCTAGGATTAAATACAATGGTACATCAGGATGGGAAGTAATTTCGCAGTGCTCTAGAAACAAGACCATGCATTCAAGCAATACTAGATTGATTCTTGATCACAACTCAAGTGGTGCTTCAGGAAGATTGTTGTTAAACCTTAATTCTCTCCTGCCCTATCCCCCCAATCATTTTGGTCATTCTTACTCCAGAAGTACACTACCAAGCTATAGATGTGCGGCAACACGAGCTGAAGATCACGTACTTCCGACCACAACTCCAATTTTGCTCGCCGCACCTTCCGCCGACCCTCCGAAAAGGACAGGTAGACGGATCAAAATCTTCTCCAAAACAGGACAAGTCTTCTTTAACAAGAAACCTAAGTCCCATAGGTCTCACCCAGTTAGAGAATTTTAAGAATTCAGCTAATAGCCGATCACCGCCTCCCAGAGGCGCGCCGGGAATTACGAAGAGTGTCCCCGCCCTACTGAGGTGGCCAAAGAAGTGCCTAGGGGCGCCGTCAAACGAAGGTTGCGCAGACGCGCCTCTCGCTGATGGTGTAGGCATTTCAAAGAACTAATGGTGAGGCCCCTCCCACCTTGCCACCTTAGGGCCCCAAAGAGCCGCTCCAACCAGGGCTCGATGGTTCAAGCAACACCTGCTATAAGGTATTAGAAGAAAGAAGTCGAAGAAGATTGTAAATTTTCCGACCACAACTCCTCTAGAGTACGGTAGGGGATCTAGATTTGGCAGTCTTACTGTTCAGGGTTTTGCGGATACTCTGAAGTTAAAGAACGCCATTCAGCTCAGGCTTGAGGGAGATATTATTTCACCACGCTCCTGGATCAAGGGTCACGCGGGACATGAAGGAAATGAAAGAGCCGATAGACTTGCTGAAGAGGGAAAGGCCAGCACGGGTCGTTTTGGTACTTCGGCTACGCCAATCCAGACCACAAGTCAGACAGTCTCGTTTAAGCCCAATACCCCCCTAACGGATTCCATTCTCGAAGCTTGTAAGCAGACCTTCGTCAAAAGGCCGTGGATTACCCAAACTACGCTAGAAGCCCTTTCAGCAGCGCGCCAAGCGGAGGCCTCTCAGGACCACAACGCAAAATCTCTGAAAATCCATCAAAAACCATGCAAAATGCTTAGCAAGAAAGGATGGCATCAAATGGGCCCACGACAAAGTAAAGGAAGACCCAGGGCAGTATAACAAGGGAATGTGGAATACGGCGCGACAGCAAAAACGAGGTTTTCAAGACAAAAGCGGCACCTAGTAGTGGACAACAAGCCCGTCCCCTGGTCTCGC